CCTTCCCTTGGTGCCCAGGGTCTTCTTGCTGCTTCCTGGCCGCTTGGAGATGCTCCCTGTGAGGCTCTCCCGGGCCTACCTTCATAGACAGTGCATGATGTCCCCCGACCTACCTTCTGTGCTTTTTCCGTCTTACATTCCCTTCCGAGGGGCCCTGGAAGATGTTGACAGTGATCACAGTGACATCAGTGGCCAATAAGATCTAGTGTGTTTCCACTTTAAGTTACAGAGAATCAGCACAGGCTTTTCGTAGTCAGCAGGAGAAGTCATCACTAGTGGAACTTCTAAGTTCTGTATGGACCTGAGACTGTGATATTTGGTTCTGGAATCACCTCTCCCAAGTTATCCACTGGACCTGATTGACCTGTGAATTTTTAGAGTCCTGGTGGGGAGTCGTGGGAGAGGCTTGATAAACTGGCACCTTGATAGAGGATGGTGTTTTTTGTGTTTTTGGGTTTTCTTGCTTCAAGGACCAAAGTTTTAACTATTTACAGTGAATTGTTTCAGGAAGTTCCTTGAAGGAAATCCTGAAGTCACCTGGGCATGGAGCATCATGTTTGTCTCTTCTAAATAGTCTGCTGCCACTGGCAGAAGCTCCTGGATGAGTGGATATGCGGCGATGTGAACCTGCAGTGCAGGCTTATTAGACAGTGTCAAATGAGCAAAGTGGAAAAATGTGAAGCTGCAGAAATGACCAGCATTAAGCAGCAATGGGAGGATTGAGACATGCAGAACCACCTGGTTCATCTGACTGCATCAGACTGTGCTAATCCCCAGAGCCCCTGCCAGTCACCTGTAACATGGAGGCGGACCTTTCTCTCCACTCCATGGACTATAGGGAAAGGGGGATTCAGGGGATGAAATCTGAAGCCCAACGGAGTGTCCCCTCTGATGCATGGTGCAACCAGTGACCATTGAAGAGCGCCTGGGTGTTAAAGATGTGTAGCTACCCACCTTCCACTGATGTTGGAAACACACCCTGCTTGGGAGGAGGCTTGTCCCCTGAATCAGGCTGCTGAGCCATCTGGTGCTGCAGCTGACCTGGAAAGGATTCCAGTATATTTCAGACCTGAGTTACAGCTGGCGTGGGGAAATCTAGGAGACAGGTGGTTCCCTTAACAGCTGTATATTTGGTTAGGGCTGGCAAGAAAGAAGATTTCATCCTGTTGAGCCTTCATGGGTTTTCAGGGATCTGTAGTAGCTCCTTGACCTTTTGCCATAATAATTGCCATTTCAGGGAAAATAATTATATTTCTCTCTTCATTGAAATATTGTCTGTAGGTCAGTGATCCTAAAGTTTACGGGAGCATATTAAGTGATAGGTGGAGGAAAAGACTATAGTTGTTAGCTAGGAGAAGATTCATAGAAAGTCTTTCAAACACATTCCAGTATCTGGAAAGGTACGAACTAAAGTCCTGTTGGGGAAAAACACTAATTGCTGCATATAAGCTGACTATTTCAATTTGGAAGTATTCATCCTGAAAATTTTAACATAACTTAACCAAACACTGTACTTGTTAAACGAACCGTTCTGCATGCCGAACAAAGCGTAAGACTTCTTTAGCCTAATAGAAGTTAAGAATGCTTTGACCCTTTTTCTTTTTTGGTCCTGAATGAAGCACTCTGGCTATATATCCATGTAGTTTTAGGGGGATATTAGGCAGACTTGGTTTTTACTTTCTGATGAGACTAGGCTAGGCATAGTAGCTTATGCCTATAATCTGAAGGCTTTGGGAGGCCAAGGCGGGAGGACCACTTGAGGCCAGGAGTTCAAGATCAGCCTGGGCAACATGGTCCCCCATCTCTACAAAATGTTTAAAAACTAGTCAGGCATGGTAGCATGTACCTGTAGTCCCAGGTACTCAGGGAAGGGGCAGAACTGTTTGAGCCAAGGAGTTCAAGGCTGCAGTGAGCTATGATCACACCACTGCACTCCAGCCAGGGCAACAGAGTGACATCCTGTCTCAAAAATAAATAATTTTTTAACTGGTGAAACTAAGGTACGAGGAAGTAATATATTTCCCCCTGTAACTCATTCAGGAACTAAATGTGGGGAAAAACAAAAGAATCTAGGGGTTAATATTCCCAGCCTTCTTGTCTACCCAGGACCCCACATTTGTGTTACTTGCTCATTGCACAAGGGTACCCCCCTGAGGCTGTGAATGGGGGCAGAAATCCAGACTGGGCTGGGCTTGTCAAGCCGTGGACTATGGCAACGAGCTGTGCCCACCTGAAGATGAGATCCCATCCCAATCTGGAATTTGCAAAAAGGCTGAACGCTTCTCTGCCAAAACACAGCACCTGTGGAGCTGTGCTGGGTCTGAGCTCTTGAGTCAGACAGATGACCAGCAAGGTATATTAGCAGTGTTACCTAGGAGATCCTCTTATGTGTCTCCTGGACACTGGAACTAGAGCTTCTCCCTGCATGATCTTAAAGAGTATTTGTTTAAATGAGTATACATTTTGAACTGAAACACTTCAGAGCTATGCATAGTTGGAAGAGGATCTGTAGTGATAAGTCACTGACTCCACCTTACTAGTTGCAAAGGCGGAGTGAACCTTGGATGAAACTGGAAACCATTTGAGATCCTGGGGATCTTCCCATCTCCTCTTCTGTATGTTAGACGCCTTTCATCCTTCCTTTGTCCTGTTCACCTGCCATCCCACCAGGCTCAGATAAAGCTTCAGTCTCTCCCTTTCTGAAAAACAAAAACCACCCACCTTTTCGCTAAGAACTTTGTTCAAGAGGAAGACACTTTAAAGTAGCTAAAATCACACTAAGGTGTAATAACCAGGAACAATTAAATGTCTCCTTCCTCAAGGATAGTATTTTAATATATAAATAGCAAACAGACTACACCGTCCTGGTAGATTCTCAGGCAGCAGGACATGCAGGGATTTTGCTTGCGTGTCTAAGGCAGGAGCACTCCCTTTGTGTGTTGGTCAAAGCTCTCCACAGCTGGTTCACACAGAAGTGCACACAATCTGCTCACTTTACATCAGTATTGTTCCGTGTTGCCTTTATCTTAGCGTTTTTCAATACTCTATTGTCTATTTGCATTTTCCTTGTCATAACACTGTTCTTCCAGGCCAACCTAAACTCTTCATTCTTGGCTCCATCATGGCCAAACTGGTGTCGGTTTTGCATCTTCTGAACTTACTCTTTCGTAATTTCCTTTTGTTCACCCAGTAAACTGCTCCATTCCTAAATCTTCTTTTTTTAAACACCTCATCCCCAAAAGTTACCTGCTTGAAAGTATAAGATTCTGCTTTCTGTTTTGTTTTTTTCTTTTTTTCTTTTTTTTTGAAACTGTGATTATTAACTGAGGTGGTAATTCACAACTTCCCCATTGCTTCCTTATCTGGAAGCTAACCTTATAAGCCCAGGACAGGGAAAGGAGAACTTACTGAGACTGTGTTTACTGGAAGCATTTAGTAAGCCTTGTCCTGTTTTTCTTTCTATACCAAGCCTAATGAGACATGGTTGATATTTTTCTTCTAAAAATGGCTACTGGAAGCTGTGATGTTAGTTTTCTATTGGAAAGTATTCCCTGATAGGAAGCAATTCCTATGCCTTGTTCGGGGCTTACATCACACTAATGAAGCTGAACTCACTAGTGAAGTTGATCAGTTCAGTAAAAAATCTACCATCAAGAAACAAGGCCAAGTGGATTCTGGTCATAGAACTCAAAATAGCTGAAATAAGACACTTGTGAAAATGGCCAGTCTCTTCAGCTGCAATTCTTTGAAGAAATGTCATAATGTTCAATTCCCTTCATCATTCAAGTGATATATTTGAAGAGTTTCTGATCCTTGGGCACACGGAGTTTTTCAAATGCCAAGATGCTATGGTCATAGTCTACCTTGTCCAAAAGGTAAAGATTTTATATGTATTGACTGTCAGTAGACTCTAACTAAATCCAGTGTAAAATGACAAGGTTCCAGATGAGGAAGAATCTGAGATGTCTTTAAGAATCCTCCATGAATGAGATCATACTTTATTTTCCCCCTGGCATGGGAGAACCTCTCAAAGCTTGTCTGGCTCCATACATTACGTTCCTTTAGTAAAGTCAAGATAAAATATCTAGTCTTGGTGAATACATCACTTGACTTTTTTCTTCAACCACTTAACAAAGACAGCCCAGATCAAAGGTTAGCATCTTTATTCCTTTAATTGCAGAATTTTTTGTCCTATCCTTTTCCCAAACTAATTGTGCTAAGAAACTGCATACTGATGAACAAATTGTTAGCCAATATTTTGTCTTTATCTACAAGTTGAAGAAGGTGCAAACCCTCCTCCAGGACCCAGAAGGAATGGCCTAGGATTTCCATACAACTCTTTGGTGGAGGAGGTTGGCTGGGAGAAAGATATATGCTGGCCTGCCCTGAAGAGCCGGGAGCTCCCACAGGCTCTTGAAAAGGATGAATCAACATGTTGCCAGTTTGTATGCTGCAGCCTATGTAATGCATGGGCCACAGTCCACTGACATCTGATGTACTGTGGTGGAGATAAGGAAGAAGGCACTAGCCCAGCTTTTAAGAAGCTTATCATACAGTTGTCTGAACCTGTGAGATTAGAAAGTCTTTCAAAAGTGTGATGTTCTGGAGATACCCTTTAAGAAAATTACAATTAATGTAAGCTTGTGCTGCTGTTATTGTGATGAAATACTTCTCTTCATGTAGCTGGTATAATGCAGGTCCCATTCACACCTCACCCATTCCACCACCACCCTCCACCCTCCTTTCTGAATAGCTGTATTCCAGAGAGGTGAGGCACGGAGTCAGGAATTGATCTCCAAAGTGGGTAAAGCTAATAAATATGATTTAGGATGAAAAGGTACTGTGTAAATGCTTGATATGTTGTTATTGCCGTTCTCATATGCTTTATTATTTTTAAATTGTGCATCCTTTTAAGTAGCTTATTTGTTCGCCACAGTCTCCATTATATCTAAGCAAAGCATTCACAGAAATTTCTAAAACCTTTTCATTTCTCTCTGTAGGTTGTTGTTTCGTAACATTTTATACAAGAAAAGCTGCACTTGAGGCCCAGAATGCACTGCACAATATTAAAACTTTACCTGGGGTGAGTCGGTTTACTTTTGTACCAGAATCACTTTATTGCTTGAAAATGGTCCTTTCAACTGAAGGTTCTAGTTATGGGCTCTTAGTGCCAAAAATGGCTTTGGTCTTTTGAGGAGTGTGTGCTGACCCCCCGGTTCCCTGCAGCAGCCACACCAGCTGGCCAGCCCATAAAGGAGCGCTGGCATTAACGCTGACGGGAAGCATTTTCAAATACTGTGTCCCCTGGTTAGAAAATCAGAGTGACCCCGCTGGGCAGCTGCTGCTGCCAAAGAGTATTGGGTGGGCTAAGATTTTAAAAGGAAAAAAAAAAACCTAACACACACAAGAGAAGCAAATGGAAAAGAAAAAGCTTTTATTCACCAGGAGCTCCTTTTCAAATTTTGTCTTTAGATTTTCTTTTGAAAGGACAAAATGTATCCTGTACAGCCATAATATTAAGCCTCCTAATGGTTTCTAAACAGTCAATCGTGGTTAACAAAGTCAATGTTTTAATGCCCAATTTGTGGCTTCATGTTGATATAGGACAGAAAATAAAAAGCTTACCTTTTTTTTTCTGTTTCCTTCCCAGTAATATTTGATACTTGGCACAGTTCATCAGAATGGAACTGATGTTGCATGTAGGAACACCAGAATACATTTTTTTCTAAAGTATTTGTGGCACTTTTATGTACTTCTTGCTATTACCAATTTCCTGATGATGTTTGGATGTTTTCCCCATTGACCCAAATGTCAGTGATGAGTTTATTCAATATCATAATGACTTGCATTTGTTATAATGAAAAACCTGTGGTAACCAGTGCAAGGATAATGATTTTATTTAAACCTGGTTTGATAAGAAGAAAGATAAGATAATGTTCCTCATCTGTTCAGGGTATAATTCTACCTTTGTGTCATTTATTTGTCTCTGAACACATACACAAACATCTGTGTGTATATACATATTCACACATGCACACATAACCATTGAAACCCCCCAAACCCCAAGAAAAGGTAGCATTTATATGATTCATCCTAGACTCATTCAGAATACAGATTGTAGTGACAAGAAGCTCAACAAAAGATTTTCAAAACATTAGCTTCTTAATCACCCAGAAGTCATAAATTATGAAACTTGATCTTGAATCATGCTACTTTGGTATTTCCCTTTGTATGTGAGGAAATTAAAGAACAGAAGTTTCAAAAAAGCAAGTGCGTGGTCTCACAGTGGTCCCTCCCAGTTCCACTGCTTCTCTCTGAAACTGCTAACATCGTTCTTAGTAAAGCTGCTTTTATTAGGTCTAAGTGCTTTGCTCAGTCACTTTTTAAAAAATAGTATTATTTCCTCTGCATTCTTCATGTAAAATAATTTTTTTAACACAGATTCTGGGAGATTGCAGTGTTCGGTCACATTATGGAATGAAAGAGCCAAGGCAAATATTTACTGACTCAGCCAACAATAGAAGAAAATAATTTTTATTTCCCAGACTCCTAATCAAACCCAGAGACCGCTTTGTTTTTCTTCTTTTAAAAAGAAATGCTTTTTCAGTAATTAGCGTGTAAAATACCCTCTAGGTGTGTTTGTTAAAATTACGTGAGACATGAACTGTTGTTTATTTAGCATTTAAGGTATAGTGTAGTTTGAAGCCACGTCACATCGTATTTTAAATGAATGCAAAGCTTAGTGAATTTGTATTTATCCCTCTACTAGAAGCCCGGCTCCTAGCATGTGATCTTCATAGTCGAGGGTATGCTCAAGAAACCGAGAGTGTATATGATGAATGGGGCACGCTGAAATGTATAAAAGTGACTTATGAGTATGCTTCTGTTTGGGATATCTTACACTGACTCTTAGAAAACAACATGTTTTATATTTTTAGAAAGTTGTACATGTGTTATTTGCTTTCTTCCTAAAAAGTCTGCATTAGAGACCCACTGTCAAGGACAGTAATTTGGGAGCTGGAAAAGATGGTCAGTGGATTATTTTTGGTTTTCTCCTTATTTAGTTTCATATGCCCAATTACTTGAGGCAGGTTGAAGGAAAATTTGAAAAGTCAGATCTGTTTTGTGAGGCTGATAGTCTTTCCAGTGTACACACTTGCTCCATTTGCCATTTCAAATATGGCAAATGAGGATAGAGTTTCCCATCTTGCATTTATGTACAGCTTCATCCAATAAACATTACCCTTAACAGCTATAGGAAGAACATGAAAGTGGTTGCCTTTTAGCTGTGTGAGCCTTTGGTGGACAGAAAGAAATGGGACCAGATATAAAAGATTAATGCATATTCTTGGAGAAAATATTACAGGGTGCCTTGCTGTTTGATTACAAGCCTTGGAATTAGTCAACATTTCCATAATTCTAAACCAATATACACCTGTTTTCCCACTGTGATGTGAAGGCACAACTTAATTTAACAGAAACCCTGCTGTGCTAAATCTCTCATTAAATACCAAGTGAGTTCAGTAATTTAAAGTTGTATGCTACTATTTTAACTGGTTGCCTTCATATTATGAAATTAATAAGAAATTAATGATGCACTTTACCATATGCCTTCAATTTCTTTCTGAATAAAAATAAAAGGGATAAAGAAGAAATGCATCAGCAGCTGACACTTTAAAGCTTTTCTGGTTGTAATCATTTTCCTGTGGATAAAATCCATTAAAAAGTCACTTGCTGCCTTTTTTGCTAAAGTGTCCAAAACTTTCGATATAAGACAAGATCAGATAATGCTAGGGTTTTTTTCTATGTAATTTTCTTTTGCAATTGATATTTTGTTTCATGAGGAACTTTATTATGCAGCCAAGCTTGACTGATGTTTCGAGTTTACTTTCCTCTGTATGCAGTATCTTTCTTTCTTGAGGGAAACAAAGAACTTGGTTAGTTAGGACACAGAAACAAGCTGATAGGATGGTCTGTTGTGCAATCGAAAGTACCTGCTCTAAGATTTTGATTTAAAAGCACCCTCCTTTATGTGTTGTGAATGAATTTTAGAAACCCTTTACATGGGGATGGGGGACGGACTCGCACATTGAGTTGCAGGATCAGGGCCCTTACTGAGCAGGGTGAAATCATCGAAGACACATTTCTCAAACCTGACTCTTACTGGGTAACCTAGGAAGACACTATTTCTTACATCCTCTGAAATTCTTAACATAAATCCTACAAATACAATGGCAGTCGTAAAGAAAGCAAACTCAACAGCCTGGCACAGAGCAAGGGATGAGAGTCTGGGAGTCATTCCCTTGGTTTGATCATGTTTCTCCTCTAGAAGTGGTTGCTTGATGCTTAAGCAACAGATGAAATTTTAGGTACAGTGCCTTATTAGTTACTGACATTTCATGAGATGAATCCCATATGATCATGGAGTGCCTACAATGTGCCTAGCTCTAAGCTAGATATTGGCAGGAGGTAGCAGGGATCGAGCCCAAAGGGACTTTTAGCTAATCTACCTGGAAGGGTGGACAGTAGAGAGGTAATTAATACTTACATGGTTCGTATTTCATGCTTTTCTGCTACAGACAGAATACCCATTCCACCACATAGACACATCCTTGCGATCCCTAGTAAGTAGAGCCATTATAGCCTGAGGATAATATTGTGAGGGAATCTGCACAGACTGGGCTACCTGGTAAGCCATTGGATTTGGTGCTTTGTTAGGTTGACTTTTCCCACTGCTGGGCCATTTGTGTTTTTGAACTACTTTTGGTTGCCTCTACTTTGATGTGTCAATTTGGGCTTGAAGATAGCATCCCTTGATGAGGTTTTATCTAGGCACAACCTAACTGGTAGTTTACTCAGTAGAAATGTCATCTACCATTGTGTTTCCTGGAGGGAAATTTTCAAGGCACCTTGCATGAGTTTCATTTTGGTTTTGTTGACCTAACTTAGCTCAATTAAAAAATAAAGTAGGCCATGCTCGGTGGCTCACACCTGTAATCCCAGCATTTTGGGAGGCCGAGGTGGGTGGATCATGTGAGGTCAGGAGTTTGAGGCCAGCCTGACCAACATGGAGAAACCACATCTCTACTCAAAATACAAAATTAGCCAAACATGGTGGTGCATGCCTGTAATCTCAGCTACTCAGGAGGCTGAGGCAGGAGAATTGCTCAAACCTGGGAGGTGGAGGTTGCGGTGAGCCAGGATCTTACCATTGCACTCTAGCCCTGTCAACAAGAGCAAAACTCTGTCTCAAAAAAAAAAAGTAAAATAAGACCTTAATTGAGGCACTCAAAAACTACCAAGATCTCTTGAGTAATCAGATGTCAGGGCCCAATATCCTTGTGCTGGTGTCAGCACTGTGCTGGGTGTCATTCTTTTTTCAAGGTCTTAACACATATTGTCTCTAGTAATAAGGCTTTTGGATTGAAATCCACAGCAGTATCATTAGAGCATTCACTGTATAAATTAATTTAATTAAGGATGTAAAAACAGGAATACAGTTTTGAAAAACCTCTTAAATTTTAACAGCAAGGAGGAAACTGTGGAATCTAAATGTCTTGTAAAATATTAATTGCAAATTTCTTCCAGACATCATCTCTGAATATGCCTTACCCATTTCTTTTTTGAATCACCACCAGTTTTATTAAATGCAGTTTTATATTAAGGAGTTATTGCCCTAAGAGAACATTTGTTTAGAGTGCTCCATTTTAGCAGTGGCATGCCAAAAGATGTTTTACGATAACCCATGCAAGGTGAGCAGGGACTGCGGGAGATCTGGGGTAGAAAAACAAGTGAGCCTGATCCAATGGGAAGAGGCAGGAAGGGAAATGGCCTCTTGGGACAAGTATTTTCACCCAGGTGGAGTGAATGGGCCCCTTCCTGACCTGCCCTGGAAGAGATAACAGACCTGTGTGGGTAGGCACCTTCCTCCCAGGCAGGCTTCACTCCATGGAATTGGCCCCTGTGTTCTTTCATAGTGGAGTGCTGTGGTTTGTTCCTCTCTGCAGCAGAAAAGCTCAACTCTCACTGAGGGCAAATTCCATTTGCCCGTTTGAATGCATTTTGAGGTGTTCATTTTCTTTG